CGATGAGCTCATCTCAGCAACGGGACTGCCCAGACCTGAGGTGGTGCGCTGGTTTGGGGACTCCCGGTATGTGCAGAAGAACGGCCAGCTGAAGTGGCTGGAGTCGTACCAGACCATGGCTCTAGAGGAGGAACTCCAGACAGAGAACACAAAGATTCTCCAGGCACATGTCGACGTACACGGGAGACTGGAGGAGACGCAGGTAACTGACAACTACATTCAGCATTTTCTTTGAGCAGCTCAGTGTCTCTGAAATCTGAGAGGCAGGTGATGATTATGTGCCGCCGGGATAAAAGTTTTATGTTCACTGAACTGCAGGATAAAATGTGCTCGTATTAGATAAAACATATTGCTCTAGAAAGTCATGTTGACATTGTTGCTTTACTTTTTTAAGATGCACATTCTCAACTGCTGCAAAGCCACAGTTGTTTTTCTCCATGTTTGGCAGAGGTTATTTTTGGGGCTTGCAAGTGAATAGGGAGCCACAAAAAAAAGAAAAACCACAATTTTTCTTGCTGAATGCTTTTGATGAATGATTTCTTCATTCAGTTTTGTTCGCAATGATTCTCGGGTGTCTGACTTTAAATTTAATCTTTTGAAATGACTATCTCTTTTTCTTTATATATATTTTACTTGGTGCGAGACTTGAAGTGTCACACGCTTTTGTTCATAGAGGTGATGGTGTTCTGGTTTAGAAATGACACCTGGAAGCTCCATGGTTGGTGACAGGGTGGTTGGTTGATATATCAAAATGCCCAGGGCCAAGTACGTAATATTTAAGATTTTTTCAGAGTCGGAGTGCCTCTGCAAGATTTTGAATGAAAATATTCAAAGACTTCTACTAGAGGGGAGATATTGAGCACAAACCGTGAATTTTATTAATGGCCAAATTATTTTACGCTATCGAATTATGTGTTCTCATTTTAGCAACAAAGGTGGACAATCAACTATATTGATTCAGTGGGATGATGGGAAACTGAAATGTAACAGCTGCTTATGCAGAAAAATAAAGAAGAATACAAACACATAGTATCACTGACTACAGTATATAAAAGTAAAAAAAGGTTTTTAGGTTTTCTCTGATCAATCTGTCAGTAAATAATCTGTTTATTTGATTGTTTCCTTTTACGTGGTTGTCAGGATGTTTGGTAAAAAGACACACACACACACGAAGTTTATGATTCAGATTGAATTGAAACAGAAATATAAAACTAGATGAAGGTGACTTGATCAGGTGGTCTTTATAAACAAGAACAAGTAGGATACATCTCACAGATGGAAGTTTAAATGTTTTTGTTCTGTACTATTTGCAGTGGATGTATCACTTCATTACCTATAAAATCAAATGGAACCGAGTACAGCAGCTCACATATAAATGATACTGTCAGAGATATTAAATGTGTGTTTATTGAGGTTTGTAATTTGCACAGATTGAACTGGACTTTTATATGAGAGGTGTTTCTTATATTTTCCCAATGTGTTCACAGAAACCAGGAGTCAATTTCCCCTATTGCAAATAATAAATTCTTTTTTACTTTTAGTATTTTTGGACTAAAGGAGTGGCACTATAATTTCATTGTACGCCCTGTTCAATGACAATAAAGGCATTCTTAATTCTTCTGACTATGACCTGAGTAATAACAATATAGTTAAAACATGTGGCAGCACTGTATTAGATAATATAGTCGTAACTAATAAAATGGCTACTTAACTTTAGATAGATGACACTGTGTCACTGACTTTACTGTGTGAGTTTGGTATTCTGTTATTAAATGAGGTCTTTTATAATTTGTGATCAAAGTTGTTAATGTGCGGCTTTGAACTGACACATTCTTCTTCCCACACAGCTGCAGGGACTGGCTGACGCGAGCGGTTTAACAACAGACTTGGTGCGACACTGGTTCTCCACCAAGGCCTCTTTGCCACAGACGGAACAAACTGTTGCTGCCTTTGTGACGGGACCAGGCCCAGTTGCACCGGGCGTGGCCGCCGAGCCACAAACAACAGGCTCCTCCCCTCTGGAGTCGCAGCCAGGAGGAGGAACGGAGGAGAAAATGGAGCAGTCGGTGTGTGGTGTCAAAACAGACGCAGAGGAGGCCAACACTGACGAGACTGTGAATCCTACTAAAGGTAGTCTTAAGTGTCTCTAATGTGATACATGCAGAAATTATGTCCCTCGCTAGATTGTTACCAGACGAGGGTTGGGATAAAAAGAGGCGACTCTTTATTTGCTGTAGCTTTGACTAACCTTTGCCACATCAGCCAGGGAAGAACACACAACAGTCAATGTCAACGTCAACTTCCTGGAGTTGCATTTCTCCCTTTCTGGTAGAGGCTTTCACCTGCACCACACCTTAACCACATCATGGACCAGTTTGTCCACTGAAACCCAACTGACATTAACCTTCTGTTAAAATATTGATCATAAGGTGAACGAGTCATTACTGGGAATGTAATGACTCGTTACTGGTTACTGTAACGTGTAACTGACAAAATTGGGTGCAAACATTTTCTGGACTTTGCCGTTCACAAATGAAGAATGCAGCAGAAGATTGTCCCGTCTGATGTGTTCATAACAACAGGAACGTTTCTGAAACATTCAGGCACGGAGGCAGGACATGACGAAAAAGTCCACTGCTAAAGTTTCAAGTAAATGTGTGGACTTAATCACAGACTTCTTAAGTAATGTGTTATGTTTCAAAAACGCCACCAGAAACTGGAGCTAGATCATTTTTTTGATAAGTGAATCCAGTATCAAAATGATTTATTAAAATAAAGTTGTTTGGATGTTTACATTTCTTTGGATCAACTAATCAATTAAGTGAGCAAGTAATCAATGCAGCTGCAAACCAGACCTCAGGTACGGGTAACTATTTATTTTTGTATAGAAGCGTTACAGAGACTGAACGATCACGATTGTGTGTGATGAGGTTCACTGTGTCTGACACCGGCGCTCGGTATAATCTTCAGAGTAAAGTCTCGTTTTCTGGCTGATGGATTTTTAATTTCTCTTCGTTTTGTATTGTTGCTACAGGAACCGACTGAAGAGGCTGTTCATCAGAGGACGGAGTTCACGACAGGTGGTCTCTGTGTCGGGAGTCTGAGTAAAAGATGGCAGATGTGGTTGTAACAGAATCACTGGATGGAAATGGACCTTGAAACCATCCCCACACACCCACCCACCCATCCATCTCTCTCCCCCTCTCTCACCCCTAGAGGTAGGCATGACCCCCCCCCCCCCCCCCCCCCCCGCTACGTGAGATTGACACCCTCTATCCATCCATCCACCTACACACCCACTGTCCCTCCATCTCCTTGTCTACCCCTCTGCTACACACAACCCCCTCTCCAATATCTCTCCTTCCACCATTTTACCTCCAGACAGAGGTTCCAGTAGAAATTGAGATCCAGTGTTGGTGGAGGGAGGGGTGAGGGGTTGTCTTACACCTCCTGCTGGAGTGGAACAGAAGAAAAACAAAATGTGGAGGAAGAAGAGGAGGATTTAAAAAGGAAGAGGTGTGGTCAGGGATTGAGACCTCACAGCAGATGTCCATTGGGGGATGGTGGGTTGGGTTCGGACAGATATCGACCAAGTCAACCCTCGGACCCGGATCGTCTGAGACACTGTTCATAGTTTGTTTCGGGGTACGAGAAACCACACAGCTCTTTGCCACAGGGGGCTTGCCGGGGCCTTAAAGTAAAAGAAACATGAACCTTCTTTTTTCCCATTGGGTCAATATCATGCTTCATTTTTTCCCCACCATGCACTCACACTTTGACTTCATGCTTGCAGCTGAACATGCTCGCTAGGCTGTTAGCATCTTATGTGAAACACAGCACTGGCGTTCATTCGATCCTGCCTTGAATAGTTTTTTTTTGGACATCTCTTTATACTCACTTTTCATTTCTTAATTAACACAGAAGAGGGGAAACTTTAGAATTAGTTTCATCCAAAGAGGTCAAGCCACCCTGTTGTGTATAAAACGATATATTAGACTTTATGGAATCTGGTTTGTGTTGTAGCATCAAGTGCTTCTTCTCTACGTCACTGGACGTGTACGTACATTTGTTTTTATGGAACTTTATAATGAAATAAATTTGACTGTATAACAACTGTGAACTTTTCCAGAGTTCCATACTTAGGCTTGATGTATAATTTTTACAGACGGTATTTGCAGAATAAAAGGAATGTAATAAATCTGCGTCTTCGAGTGTCATTGACCTGTTACTTCTCCAAGTGTAGTCGTACAAATGTTGATTAATTAAATGGTTTTATCACGGGATATATTTAACATTGGTCAGATCCTACAGAAAAAAATCTAAACTACCAATAAATGAATCCCAGTAACTAGTTTTATGATCTTATTCCTCTGTACCTGTAGAAGAAGAATATCAATACTTTATCTATACTTTATATTAAATTCTTTCTCCTGTCTCCTCTAATCTATAACTACAAATGGCCGCCACACAGATGTTGCTTGTTGTTTCTGACTCACACTTAATAACCCGAAGATGTTAAAATTATCACACAGGACGGGGAAACCCAGAAATCCTCACATCACAGAAGTTGACACTGGGCAACATTTAACACTTTGCCTGAATAATTTCTATGAGCTCATCATTTTAAAACCACAACAGCTCAGCGACATACTCTCAGGCTGTGAAACTGAAACCTTGGCCCTCTCTTCCTGTGCTGCAGCATCTCGTGCACATGTAACCAGCTCTGTCTGCACTTGAACGACATATTTAGGAAAAGAAGACAAAGTAGTATAAAGTAGTAAGTATTTTATTTACTTTTCAGGCTTGAATATGTTTCATATGAAAGGCAAAATTAAAATGAATACTTTTCCTCTCCATAGTTTAGGCACGTTACAGAAAGGTGACTGTAAATGAGACTGTCAGTAACGGAACAGACACGATTGAAAACAAAAAAAAAACTAATGACACTTAAGGGCCTTGTACAAACACACCCACACACAGGCTCTCCTTGTCATTCTGTCTGGTTTGACTTCTTTACGCTCCCGCAACAAGAACAACAGGAGAGTCAGGGACATGTCAACCAAACACGGTCCGTACGTGCGGCTCACGCAGCGCTGACAGGAAGTCCAACCAGTGAA